CAGTATAAGTTCGCGATAGCCGACAAACTCCAGTAGGAGAACCGGTGCACGCAAAGTCCTTCAGAAGATCCTATTTTAGGCTTTCCATGTTTTCTGCTTAGGACATTAAAAACAAGATTGTCACTTTTGGGCTAAATGATATTAATTGAAACATACTATTATTCTTTGATCACATAATCGATTATCTATTGATAATTTTAGCCTTTGTCATTTTAACAAGAAATATAAATTTAATTAGGTTTAATCACTTAAAATTGATTAACTAATTTATCAAGTGAATTGCTTAATGTTTCCTTATCAAAATAATGTATAAAGTTTTCTGGTTTTAGGTAGTTTTTGTAATAAACTTAACAAATAAAATACTCTATAGTTTCTGTTTTTGGTTTCTTTTTTTTGTCTTTTGAATTAACATTCGCATTAGTTTAAGTGATTTCTGTAGAGTATGTATTCAATTTATAGAATTTGGTTTCTTTAATTTGTTTGGTATCAATTTATCTTTGTTAAATTAACTCATGTTCCCATAGCAAGGAGGGTTTCTGGAGTTCCAAATGGACTTTTTCTATTGGGATAATAAATAATGCTTTATCTAATTTCAATAATTCAGCCTATATGTCAAATAAACCTTTAGGTGATCCATTGCAAATTTTGATTCTGGTTTATTTTCTGCGAAAAGAATAAATTTAGGCGATATTAACTTCATCGCATGCTCCAGCGACTAAATCTATTGATGGATATTTTTGCTGAATATTTTTGAGCAATTAACTAATTACATTAAAAATCTGTACGAAAAATTGATTCCTTTTGGGATATCTATTGAAATTTATTTTTAAATCTTATTTGATTGGATATCTTATTCTAATTATTGTAAATCTTATTTTAGTTAGGCGACATTCATTTGCTTGCCAGATAATTTTATTCTTGTATTTAATAAATTTGCCTCAACTACGAATATAGATATTTAAATACCTTCACATTAATTTTAGGCTATGATTTAATCATATCTTTCTTGATAGTCAATCATAGCTGCCCTAATATTAAAATTATTCTTATATTAATAGTAATCAATTATGTCAATCTTAGATGTAATGATATTTTGCAAGTTTTCTTTAAATTTATTTATTTGATCTTATTTTCCAGTTACAAAGAATTTTTCATTATTAGAATCCAATTTAACTTTGAATTGCATTTCATAATTCTGCAAATCTGAAAAATCTTACATTTACAAATAGCATATATAGTTTTAATTATGAATTTCTTCTTTGACTACTTTTAAATGATCATTGAACTTTGATTTTAAATTGACACTTAGCTTCATCCCGTAAACAATCTAAAAGTAACCTACACAATTTCCATTCTTATTAATTGACGCTAGCTTTTCAACTTCTGATTCTAATATTTATTCAACACCGTTTTAATCAATCTCAAAATTTGAACATAAAACACAACTTCCATCTAAACCTCCATCTTTAAACTCTATAAGATTTTGAATTAAATTATTTACCAGCAAAAATCGCTGCCTAAAATGCCATACTTTTAATATCTTTCAAACTTTCCTCCAATTAATCTAAGATTTCTGATGATTGTTTAGAAACTTAATAATTCTAATATGAAGATTCTTTTAAAAATTCATGAACTTCCAAAAATGTAAATTATTCCTCTGTTAAACCCTCTGATTTTATAATTCCATGGTAGAGTTAAAGTTGCTTAAATTCTTTCATAATTATTTCTTCAGCTTCCTTAACTAAATTAATTGGGCCATAAAGAATCATCTAAGTATATTAGTTATCGTAATTACATATTCTTCAAGTTCATCTACTTCCACATAAACATAATAGTATTTTTCAACCCAAGGCTTTATTTTTGGAACGTAATATGTTGTAAATACATGAAACATCCTTACATTTAATTCCAATCGAACAATTTGCTTTTTAAATATTTCTGAGATATCAGAATGCTTATATCCATAAATTATATAAGTGTCATACATGCTTGATTAGAAATTCCCTTTATACCCTTGTAATGGTCTTTCTTAATTTAAGCATATAGTTTTTACATTTCTTTAGGTCTAAAGAAAATCAACATATTCTTTGAACTATGTCTAAAGTATAAATAATTTATTAAGATATTCTTCTACTATTTGACTACAATTTAATTCTGTAATTATTTGATTATTATCTATAATCCATTCAATATCATTATTCAAGCTTAACTTTTATTTTACATGATCTTTTAATGATTTTTCTAGTTCTTTGTCCCTTTCTACAATTTGAGAATATTCTTTCAAATTTATTTTTAACATCTTGTCAACTTACAGAAACCTCTAATTCATAAATTCTTGTATCAATCCTCTTGTCATATTATTTGATTCATGAAAAGTGATTGATAGATCAATGTTGCAGTCAAGACTATCTTCTAGGAGTCGAGAAAAAATTGAAAAATTATTTTTCAAACCATCAATATTTAGATTATATTTCATTATAATTAAATTTTTATATTTATTTCTAATAAAAAATATATTAATGTAATACTAAATATAAGTGCTTCATAATTAACTCTTCAACATCTATATTGGTAGGTTATTTCATTGTGCTCCAAATACTTACAGATATCCTTTATCAATATATTTTGGAATTCATTTTATTCTATATTTGAAGGAGTTAATTCTATTAGGTTTGAATAATCCTCTTTAAACTTTGATATCATCATCTCAAGATTTTGGTTTAATTTTATAACCTTTAATTAAATATTTTTATCTTAAATTTTTTACAAAATCATAGTTTATTCTAATCCACAAGGACATCCATCAGGATAGTCATCTTTAAAATTGTGATACATTTTCTGTTTATTATTATTTCCGTGAGGAGGAGCATCAGCTATTAAATATAAAACTTTCACATTTTTATCAGTCCAACCTAACCTTATTGATGCATCTAATCCATCTAATAATGCTTCTGCAAAATCACCACCTCCAGCAGCTTTTAATTATCCCAAGAACTAATTGATAACATCCGCTGAGGCAAAATCTTGCACTTAGACTACTTATTGATTCATATTATATGGAACATTATGATCTTTATATGAAACAACAGCGAATTGACATACTTAAATATGCTCTTTAAATTCTACAAATTTTTGCATAGTTTTCTTGATTATCTCAATGCAAGAATTAATATATGGGGACATAGACCCAGTTGTATCAATTACAAATGCAACGTCAATCCCATGAATTAAATCCTACTAATGGTTTACAGCACATGCAAATTTATGATCTTTTATCTTATTTGAATTTGTGTGCCATCCTCTCTCTTAACAGAACTATTTAACTTCTAAACATTATGGACAATAGGCATCACAACCTTATATATTATCGATATCTTCTGTGTTTTGTAAAGGATGAGCCCACATTTTTTATTCCCAAAATTGAAAGCATAAGATCTCATCAAACCTCTTATTTTCAAAACCTTAATATTTTTCTTTCGAATGTCTAGCATATCTTTGAAGCGTTTTTTCTAAACAGCTATCTCCACCTTTACACTCAATTAAATGAAAATGACTTCTACCTCTTCTTTTACAACTCTCTCTGCAAGTTTCTGGAGATGAAACATCTCCAACAACATAATTTTTAACTAATTTTCCATCTTCACTTAATACTTTGATTTAGCTATTTTTACCCTATTGTTATGTAAATTTTTAATCATCTTTATTTCTATGCTTACTTGAATAATGCAACCCTGCATGACCATATTATAATTCACAGAAGGATTAACATTCAGGGCATTTTTAATCGCAATAGTGATATTAGACATCAGTATCACGCATGCAAATATGCTCTTCAGCATGTTCATATTTCCCTTTGGCAATCTGATGCATACATTTCTTTTTGCCTCCAGTTTTAGGAATATATTTTATGTATTAAAATTCAGCGATATTGGTTTTCCAAGTCACCTAAACGGATTCATATTCTACATTACAAATTCCTTATTTTGAACAAGTTTCCTTACAAAAATGAATATTACTACAGAGATGAGTACCTTTAGGCTGTCTACTATGTGAATGAATTCTAAGGCACTTTTTCTCACAATATATACCTCCTCTTTTTATAGAATGCTGATGTTATTCTGAGCAATTTTTCTCGCATAATTAGCATTCTTAATTGCACCCATTATTCTTATCTACACAGATATGAATTTGATGTTTATCAGCTCTGTCAAATTAACATTGCTTTTCGCAATATGCACAAGTATTTTTGCAGATGTGCTTTTCATTACAAGTGTGATTGCCGTTATGATTTCGAATATTATTGCACTTATTTTTACAATCTTAAACAGTGCAGTTCTTTTCACAAATATGATCTTATTTCGAACAAAGATGTTCTTACTTTTCATCATGCCCTGCTTTATGATTGCATTATTTATCAATACATTATGAGCATTTTTAATCACAGATATGACTTTCTCTATTACATGAATGAACATCACAATTTAAATTTTTCAAGTTTCGCCCCTCCCACGCAA